TGTTTGTCAAGGTTAGAAGTACTTACCTCATGCAATTTCTTTGGTGTATGATCCATTCTCATCCCAAATTGTTGTGAATTCGCAGCCATGTTGGAAATTAATTGTTTCGCAACAGCTGGTGTTTTGTCAACCAATGCTCCTCCACTAGCTGCATCTATCATACTTCTTTCCATAGACAACAATCCTTCATAGAAATATTGAATCAAAAGTTGATCACTTATCTGATGATGTGGGCAGCTCACACACAGTTTCTTGAAGCATTCCCAATATTCGTACAAAGACTCTCCGTTGTATTGACGAATGTCACATACCTCCTTCCTTATGTTTGCAGCCCTGGAAACGGGAAAGAATTTCTCCAAGAATTGCTTCTTCATCTCAATCCACGAATTGATGGAACCAAAAGGTAGGTAATACAACCAATCTTTTGCATCATCCCCCAAAGAAAATGGGAATGCTCTCAATTTAATTTGATCTTCATGTATACTTTGTGGTTTCATGCTTGAACACACTACATGGAACTCCTTTAGATGCTTGTGAGGATCTTCACCTGCAAGACCACGAAAAGTAGGTAAAAGATGAAGTAGTCCTGATTTTAATTCAAAAGCAACATCTAAATTAGCATATTCAATGCATAAAGGTTGAGCAGTAAAATCGGGAGCTGCTAGCTCCTTCAAAGTCTGTGTATTGGTAGCCATGTTGTCCTTTTTCTCTTCCAAATCACTACATGATTGCCACTTGAGAGCAATGTTCGTTCTTGGTGAAGAGGTTGATGATGCTTGCTCGAGTTCAGCTTGTCTCGCTTCTCTTCGTAATCTGTGGAATGTATTTTCAATCTCAGGATCAAAACTCAATTCACTTTGGTGAGAAGATCGAGTCATAAACTAATTAAACAAAGATAATAAGATAGAAATACTAGAACTAGTCAAGGAAAATCACTTCCCCGGCAACGGTGCCAAAATTTGGTGTGCGTCGTTCACAGCCAAAATTAATTCCTTACCTCTATACTACAAATATAGCAGTGGCAAGTAAGGGTCAATACCACAGAGAAATGAATTAACTTAACTGGTAACAAGTGCAATAATATGAAAATAAAAAGGGGGGTTTGTTTGTCACAAAGCAGATTATCAAATCGTTAACAAGAATCAATTAATGAAACTTTGGGTCAAAGGCAATTCAACTGTTGGTTATGGATTTGATCATAGACACACAAATAATCAACTCCTATCAAAAGCTTAGTTCAAAGATCATTTAGATGTTAAACGACCTTCTTCATCTCTATAAACATTAATAAAAGCCTAGTACTCATATTAAATCTTGTTATTAATCATTTCGGTATTAAGAATCCTCTTTCTATTAATAACAGCCTTAAGAACAACTATGATTGAATAACAAATCTCCACCAGCGAAGAACTATTAATCCAATTTATAATTCCCTCAGATTAATAACAAAAGTTTGGAAAACAACTGCATAATTTGATTGCTACTACAACCAAGTTTCAAGACAAGTATGGATCAAGAACTTAATCTAGCATTCATCACATAGAACATCAATTAGTGTGCACCTTAATCAAAAGAACTATGTAATCTCATCAATAAATGAGAGAATCATATCATTCAAATAGAATTTGATATTAAATAATTAAACCAAGTCTCACAAAACCATATACCAACTTAGAATACCTTCAACCGAACAAAGGAAATCAGCTGCTCATTGCTTAAGTAAACCCAAGTTTGTATAAAAATTGTTGTACCGGCTTTCCTTCTAGCTTGGTGGTTGTGGATCTAAATTATGACTCCCAAGTTGTGGGTTCAAGGGCCGGTAGAGAGAGAGAGCATAAAAATTGTTGTGTCTCCCTTCCATGCTCTGCCTTTTTCTCCTTCCAGGAAACCATAGATACATATAGAAAACATACAACACTTGCAAAGATGTGTACAACTCAAATCCCTACATTATAGGTATTCTTTATCAAAACAGATTGACAGAAATCACAGAATCGTGCTGGAATTTGTGAGCTGTTCTTCTATAAGATAACGACTGAATATTGATTTGGGCTGTTGATGAAAGTTGTAGCCCTAGATGTATAGATAAGTTTTAGCTTTTGAATCACCTGATTTGGACTTCGGAAACGCAAGTTATGACCGATTGAAGTTTACTGGGTCGGACAGGAATCCAACTCCAATTAGGATTCTGATCAGCTTTCTAGGCCTGACTTTGAAACAATGTTTGGAGGCCCAAACGAACTCAGATTTTCACAAACCATACATTTCTGAAAAGCTAAAGATGTCCTCTAAAAACTTCATGAAGACCACTTTCTCTTTCTGAAACTCTAACGCCATCCAAACCTCAATTGAAGCTCTATAGATCGAAACGACATAACAACTGAAAATTGCACAATATATTCTATATCTATTCTTTTACCTTCAATGTTTCCCTAATTCAATAAATATATTAATCAGCTCACTTAAACAGAAAATATGTCATAAAACTAAATATAAAAGAATTAAAAATATTAAATATTATGCTCTTATCAACTACTTCGTCAGTCACACTAAACAACATTGTTTTTCTTTGGTGTTATTTGTGAGAGGGACTATCAACATATGTAGTTGACCACGACATTCTTTAAGGATAGACAATCTTTATTTTTGAAGGTGGTGGTAGTTATTCTCCTCCAGAGCAACCAAACGACATGGTTTACAAACTGAACAAAATTGAATGTAATCAGAAAAATAGATCATGCAGTCAATAATTGAGTCGATGATGTCTTTTGGAAGTCCTGCCCAACCTAAACCTGAAAGCGTCATCCTCTACTTCGGTTCCCTGGAGACACCGACAAAACACAAGAAACAGAAGCTTTGAATTGCTTGCAATATGTAGGCTGCGCTACTTGTGGCATGTTATTAGGTTATCAACTTTATTAGGGTAAGGCCTCTCTCTCTCTCTCTCTCTCTCTCTCTCACACACACACACATATATCAGGAAAAACTTCAATCACACCCCCTCTAGTTTATCATATTTTCAAGGACACCCCCTCTAGTTTCTGAATCTTCAATGACACCCCTGTCAGATTAAAAATATTAAGTAGAATGCAATTTTACTAAATTGCCCATGATATATTTGAGGACAAACTTTATCCACACCCTCTTTAGATAAACATATCTTCAATGAGACTCTCTCTAGATAAGTATATTTTCAATGACATCTCTTTTGTTTTCTAATTTTTTTTACATAATTAAATTCGGACCGATTAAAATTCGATTCAAGCTAATTAAAATTTATTCTTTTACATATTAAAATTTGTGCAAATTAAAAATTATATTTTTTTTAACGTATTAGAATTTGGGCTAATTAAAATTTTGTTTGAGTCAATTAAAAATTATATTTAATCGATTCAAATCAAATTTTAATTAATTCGCATTGAATTTTAATCAGCCCAAGTTTTAATATATACAAATATATGAATTTTAATTGACTTAAATTTTAATAAATATAATTTTAATTGACACGAATTTTAATAAGTAAAAAAATATAAAATTTAATCGACTCGAAAGAGAATTTTAATCGGCGCTAACAACTCGGGAAGAGTTCAAATCGGCTCAAATTTTAATATGTAAAAAAAAAAATTAATAGGCTCAATTTTTTTTTAAAATTTACGAATTAGTAAATAACAAATTAGTATTTACTAACAAATTATTTACTAAAATTGTTATTTATGATTTTTTTTTAAAATTTTAACGGCTCAAATTTTAATAAAATTTTATGTAAAACAATTACTTGAGGTTATGTAGAGGCATTTTTGGTATTTTAGATGAATTTTTTGTTAGAAATAATAGTTTAATGGTACGGGGTGTGAGTGATTTTTAAATTAAACTAGAAGGGTGTCATTGAAGATTCAGAAACTAGAGAGGGTGTCCTTAAAGATATGGTAAACTAGAGGGGGTGTCATTGAAATTTTTCCTATATATTATGATTGTGGTTACTAATTGTTATCTTACTGCATTAATTAGTGTAATCTTCATTACAAAAATCTTTTGCATCTCTCTCTTTGCGCCCATTCTTCTGTTTGGACTTACAGAGCCTTGGCTGCCGACCATGAACACCTAATTTCTTATTATTATCAGTCTAATTTCCACATATTTTACTAAAATAATCGAGAAAAAAACAGACCGGGTTCGAAATTTTTGCTAAAGCCACCATCTTCATTGGTTTATAAAGAAAAAAAAAGTTGAAAAAAAGCTCAATTGGAAAATATGTTTTTGTTTATATCCCAATTGTCCCAATCACTATAGTATTACATTGTTCACGTATTGAACTAATTGCTAGACTTTGTTCGTAGCCGTCTTTGCACACAAGGGAGTAAATATGTGGGCGGTGGTCCAAGGGACTATATGGGATATTCGCATCCTGACTTTTCTTTCATGAGAGGTTTATCAAGTGGTTGAACTACTACTAGGCCAACTCCTTAGGATTGAAAATAAAGTTCTAACGGGCTAAAAAGGGTGTTTCAAACAAGGTAATGAACTTAATAGACATAAAATAGATTATACATGTAAGTCTGTATTTAGTGTTGATTGAAGCATCTGCTATTAAGAAAGCATATCGTATTATGAAAGGAAACCTATAACTACTGACAAGGAGGCCCAGTGATCAGCTAGGTTGAATAATATGTATCTGTCAAATTTGGGACAATCCAAATGGGGGCAGCAAAGAATAATTAGAGGGATCAGGTGTGTAATAAGTCTTGAAGCTTCTATCCATCAAATTGAAGACCCCCGTGTCATCATCAGCTCCATGAGGAACATAGTTGGTAATTTCAAAATGATGATCGGTATAGTATATGCAATTTGATGAGCATCTAGTAAAATCTGATACAAAAACTGCCATAGAATAATTATCTCCCAGAAATAGAACTTGATCACCTAAGCTCTTGATTTCAAACCACGTGGGTTGCTTCATCCTGTTTGAATATGACAACTTAAAAACCTTGAAGGCCGAAGTCTTACAATGCATCGTCATGGACGTTTTCTTCCAAAAACCTTGTCACCATTAATAGATCTCCGTCATGTGATTTCACCAAGTAAGTTATTCGAAGTCTACCAAGAACTTTTTTACGATTAACGATCACTTTATGTGTCCCATTCATAACATCAACACATATATGACTACCCCAATCGTTGATACCATGGAATTGACCTTCATGGTAAATAAGGTCAGAAAATAAGTAATTTTCTTTCAAGTCTATAAATATCCAAGATTCATCCCCTGATTTAAAAAATGCCAACGTTCTCATTTCTCGATGGATGACCGCAACTTCATAATTATTAGGATCTTGAGAAGGATCACAGGATAATATACCTTTACAGATGAAATAGTCATAGTCATCATCATCAACCCACTCATGGTAATGGTTGGAAGGATCTCTGAAATCTGGCAGACCAATGGTTTCTTGAGTGAAGGGGTTCAACAGGGTTATGGCCATCGATTTTTCTATAGTAAATAACCATCCATGTGAAGATCCAAAACTTCGTCTATTATAAAGCATTGGCAACTTGAGATCATGGATTAGTCCTTCGGTGACACTACAAAAACTCAAGTTTTCTTTGTTATTACCTATAGGAGGGATCATCAGCATAGGCTGTACATTACAGCATGTTTTGAGGATATGCAACTTTTGTTTCTGAATACGGTGGCAATTATTCTCTTCTAGTGCGACCAATCGCCATGGTCTACAGACCAAGCGAAACCGGATGAAATCAGAAAACCTAGTCATGCGGTCCAGAACTGAGTCGAGAAGGTTTTTTGGAAGCCATGCCCAGCCTGAAACTGAAAAAGCCGTCACCCTTTTGTTCTCCAAGGCCATGACTCCAACAAGAACTTGGATTTGCTCTCTGTCTCCCTAAACAAAGTAACAGAGAGAAGTGCACTGAAAAGTGAAGAACATGGAAGATTGTGTGTGTTTTGTGTGAGAAAATGGGCAAGAGAGGTTTCAAGGAAAAAAAAAATTCAATTGGACATGAACACAAAGAATCAACTGGACATGAATTAGACATGCATTCAGTTAACTCATGGAATTTAAACATGAGAATATCATGAAATATACATGATCTAGATGAAGTGGGATTACAGCAACACTTTTGAGATGCATTTCAAGAAGGGTGTGCAATTTTGCCTTCGCCTTCTTTAGTACCACACCAAATCAAGTTCAATTTTACTATAACTAGTTGTTGCACGTAGACACCATTTTGAGATTGTAAAGATCATACATTGGTGAAATTACAAATTCAAATTTAGCGAAATCGATGGATAATGGTCATTTTCTTTGGTTTATCATCCATAACTAAGATCAAGACAAGACAATTCATTACTATATTTTCTCTTCTGTTTTTTTTGAGAAATGGGAATATTTTACCCATAAGATACCCAGCAAAAAAAAAAACTTCAAATTGCAAGATTTAAAAATATCCAACATGCATAAAATGCAAAATGAATATAAATTCATCATAAGTTGATTCTCATGACTAATAGAATATAAGACTTTAATATGGGGAAAGAAAAAAGAAAAAGCTTAGTCATTCGGACTGTTAATTATTGAATCAGTAAGGAATATGAACAGAAAAAAAATAATAGTTTCAATCATCAACATAATTAATAATTAAATAGATAAATGGGCAAAAACATTAGCACGAAGACAATTACGATAAGTAGTAAATAAAAAAAAAATCAAAAGTTTCAAACTATATCTGTTAATTTACAATATTAAAAGTAGATATACAGATATAAAGTAGTTGGTATGCATGTGCGTTGCACATGGACTATTTCAAATTATACTTTTATTTTTTTGTTCTAAGAGAAACGACTCATAAATTTTTATCAAGGTTAGCTTGAAACCTAAACTTTCAAGAAAAAATTTAAATGTCTTGTTTCAATTTACTTTATTTTCTATCATCTAAAGAACAAAATGAATTTCTAACTGACATTAGGAGGTTGTCAAGACTCTACAAGCAACCCTTTGGCAAAGATTTTTTTTTCATTTTTTTCACTGCCTTAATTAAGTGCAATACAAGGTGACCGAAGTTATTTTGTCCTCCCAATCTTCTTAGATTTTTTTTCACTTCATTATTGCAGTCTCTGCATCTTAAGGAGATAGTCTGTGAGCAAGAATGAGACTAAAAACAAACCAAATAAATTTACTTTTTATAATTATGAGGAGTGAGTGCATGAGCATGTCTAATAGTTATGTTAGATTAGACAAAACAATAGATAGCTATATGAAACTTATGTTGTCTTAGTACAGAGGACTTGCACATCTTAGTAGATAGCAATATTTTTGTGTTTTGATAAATTATTTTTCTATGTTTTATACTTGATCATATATTCTTGAGAGCCTATATCTGCATTGACCAAATCCACTAAACTCCCTCAATTCTTCCAATATTTATCTAGTTAAAATCAACACAAAATAGTGAGATTGAACAAAACTATACAAATTTTGGTCATATCTCATGTCAGATTCTTGTCTTACTATGTTATTTATCGTCCGCCACTCTTAGATGTTTGGATTTCTTCACTATCAAAATGAACAAACTTTAATTAGAATCAGAAAATAAAGAGAACATACACATTTATATGCACAATACAAAAACAAGCACAAAAAGTGAGATCAATTGGTGGGTAGAAAGAGAGATAAAGAAAATAATTGACATAATTGTGGAACTTAACAACTATGAGAGTTTTTTGACTTTTGCATTTCGGTTGTTACAAAATAAAAGAGAATGTGTATGAAACAAAAAAGTTCAAATCGACTAATCAATATTAAGTTAGAATTTGAAAGGTCAAAAAATAAATGAAACAAAGTAGAAACTTTAATAGTATGTGTTAGAGGAAGAATTTAAAGTCTAATTATTTGAAGGTAAAAAAATGAATTTTTATATACTATTATTTGAACAATCATGTACAAGTGTATCAATAGAAAATTAGGTGGCTGCAAAAATAGAATTAGATAGTGATTGTATTGTAAACTAAATGGTTGGTGAAAAAATATGAGAGAGAGAGAGTAATCAACTTGTTAAATAAGTAAATATATACTATAAAAAATAATAATTTGTGTAGAAGTAGAAGTAGAAGTATATGAAAAGTCATTTAAACATTTAGTTAATATTGGATAATAAAATATATAACGACCAGTTATTGTCTGTGCCCGAAAGCACAGAATAATAAAAAATGGTAAACAATAAATATATTTGTATTTATATTCAAAATCAAATCACAAATATAGAGAAGAGATAAAAGAATTTAAGTATCGGTTTGTAATAGGGGTGAGAGGTGGTGGTGGGAGGAGACAGTGATGGTTGTGGTGTGTGACAATGACCGTGGTGACGGCGAGGGCGGCGTCGATAGTGGGGGTGGTAGTGACGGTGGCGGCAGTGGTGGGGGGTGGTGGTGACGACAGCGATGGCGGTGGGGGTGTAGCGATGGTGGCTGTGGCGACGACGACGGCGATGGCGATGATGGGGGTGGTGGCAATGGCGGCGGTAAGGGCGGTGGTGGTGGTGGCAGTGGTAGTGACGATGGTGGTGGTGGAGGGGTTGGGTGTGGAGGTGGGGGAGGGAATGGTGGTAATGGCAGCGACGACGACGGTGATGTTAGAGGTAGTGATGTGATGATTTCAAATACTATTTTTTTTGAAATATTTATGAGAAATAATTTTTAAAAAGTCACTCTAAACACCCCATTAGGAGCCTATTTTTTTTATTAAATTTAGGGTGTTAATATTAGCAATTAGATTAATTTTAAAGTAAAATTTAAAGCGATTTCAACCACGAATAGTAAAAATTATTTTGGTTATCTTTTGAAATTTGAATCGTAAACTTCTTTATTATATAGATATAGTTGATTTTAATCATTTTAATAGGGATATAATAGTCAATTAAACTTTTTTTACTTAACTTCTTTTTATTAGTAATATAAATATAGATGTGAAAAATATAAATATATGAAGAGTCATTTGTATATTTAATTAATATTGAATAATTAAATACATAAAAAATAAGTCTCTCTTATCTTTTTGATAAGAACATAATAATTAATCAAATTTTTTTCGCTTAGTTGCTTTTCATTAATAGTACAAATATAAATTATTACGAGGTACTTTCTCCCCTTTGTCCTCGACCCAAAAAAAAAAGAAGAAGTTTTTGCAAAGATTATATGCGGAGTGATACATTGTCGGGAATCGCGTGCAAATCAAGAGATGTTAGTGTGAAGTTTTGTAACTATGGAATGTGTCATGCAATCAACATGCACCTACACCAACACCAACACCAACACCAACACCAGTGCAAATATCTGCATGTAATCTCCACAATTTTCGACTTGTAAATCTTTTTCTTTTACCCAAATCTTGAGAGCCTAAAATCAAACGAAATATTGGGTATGTTTTAATGACAAAGTTAAAGTAGATTGAATATATACAAAGATATCTTTTTCTATCGAATTCAAACTCATTCAACTGTCATTCGAATAGGATATAAATTGATATATCCAATCTTTTTTTTTGTTTGGGTATATTATATATTTTTGTAGAATTCATGGATAAGAGTGATGTAATTTACTTTCATTGACTATTATATCTATATCCTATCAAATCAACAACAGTGTTTGATTTACAAATTCACCTTCAACCCATTTTAATATTTTTTTATTATTTCATTCAATATTAATTTAAGTATATCCCTACTTCTAGTACCATTAAGAGAAATTCTATTACTTTGTCTAACCGGTACCTTTATCAACCTCCGTTGAATACAATGAAATCATCTTAATCTATTATCTCTTAACTTATCCTTAATTAGAGTTATTTATAGTATTTCTCTTATACAGTCACTTTGTAATAGTGAGGTATCGCATGCTTGACTTATACTCCAACGGTTAAAAATTCATCATTGAAGGTTCACTTTACTAGTTTGTTGAAATCTAAATTTTCTATACTGAAAAATCATCTCCAGCAAGTGTCTTTTTCAACTCATAGTTATAATACAAAGCATTAAATATCATGCCATGTTACTTAGCAGTGCACCATTTGGCACACCACAAGCACAAACTCTATTCCAGCCAGTCATTATTTCACATATTATAAGTTTGGTTAAAACTCAACAACTCAATTATTTATTAGATTTCTTCTTGTGTTTTATTGGGGAAGGTTATCTTCCTTGCCGTCTTCTATCGAGCAATCTTTCATGAGCTAACTGTCCACCAAATGCGATAAAATATTTGCGGGACTTAAACTAAAACCTTACGAAACAACTTGATTACGACATTGAAAGATCAGTAAAAAAGTGAGTGTTCATTCAAATAAGAGTAATAATCCAAAATTGAGGCATCAATTTAGAATGAACATTTAACGGTTGTTTGGTTAAAGTAAAAATGATGGATTCATGGATAGGATTACACAAAAAAAATAAAAAAAAAAGTTTCATGGACTCATATTTTTCACTTTGTCAAGTTTATAACCACATAAGAGTTTCGATTATCTGGTGTATAACAAGGATGTTGTTTTTCAAAATCATGTCATTTTGTGTGTAAAACTGTGCCCTTAAAAGCACTCTTGCTGTATAACAGAGAATCCGGACTCTTTGAATAATGTACTATTAGAATTAAGATTTAAAAATTACTAGATGTCCTTGTGTTGAATAAAAATGAATTGGACAAAAGGTATTAAAGTTAAAAATACAATGCCATCAATGCAAAAAGGAAATCTTCTTTGATGTCATATCCTGGAGCCTACACATTTCTTCTATTCCTATTCAACCTTGGGATAAAGTAAAGATATGTCGTATTCCTATTTGAAGTTATTTCAAAAATCCAATCAAATTGATTTAGATTGGTGTATTCAAATCAATCCAATTTAAAATAGCAAAACTTATCAAATGATCCCTTAAAAAATAGGAAATAGTTATTAATATAGGAACTTATTTATGTAGTTGATGAGATGATTATTATTAGTTATTGAAATAGTGAGGTTTATGACCAAATAAATAAATAAAAGTAATGCTAGATAAATTTAAAAATTAGACTTGATAATTTCAATCATTGAATAAGTAGTGGGTCCCAGTATTTATTGAAACCCACAGTAAATTCAATGGTTGAGATTATCAAGTCTACCTTTTAAGTCTACTTTTTAAATCCATGCAGCATTGCTCAATAAATAAATAGTGAGGTTCATCATTTTATCCACTTAATATTTTTTTATCTACTTAATAAATAGTGAGGTTCATCACTGTTACATTGAATATTTATTTTAATTTCTAAGTAACTAATACTATAAGAACTTGATTTTTGGACTTAATTTAATATAGTCATTAAATTAATTATAAATTTTAATGTTAAATAGAGTATACTTTTAATCCAATATAAATCTTCTGATTAAATCCCAAATTAAGTGTAAATTTTTTTTTTTTAATTTATGGGTTTGATGCTCTGTCCGAAGACGCCTGTTTGGTCCAACCCATACCGTGTTCTTACCGCGTATCGTTACCGTTCCAAGCAAGCATATTCCTCTTCTGGATAAGCCTATAAATAAATATTCTTACTTCTGACAGACTCTTGAGACTACCAAGACAAACTGCCGGTGACTTTAACGGTCAACGAATGGAATCCCCACCATACATATAAAGCCACGTGTCGGTTCAACCCTTCTTGCCTAAGTAACCCCTCCGCTCGATAATAATATTCCCTCCACGGCAAAGTCTATCCTCAGATAAATTCTTCCCACGGTTTGTCGTATAATTAACGTTCCTTCGACCTTTTTTTTAACGACTATACCCTGTTCACACGAAAAAGTTCTAATTTTCCATTCTTGTACCTAAAATAGACAAAGGGCAATAAAGTACTTGCACAAAGAAGTGGTTTTCTTGTAAAATGTTAGCAAGTCAAGGGCAATTGCAAACCACATCTCTCGCAGAGACTATAAATACCCGATGTTTCAACGTCCCGATTTCGGAACACAATCTGCTTTTTCTCTTCACATTTTTCGATGGGGTCAAGGTACGAAGTCGAAGTCACCGTAACCTCCGCCAAGGATCTGAAGAACGTGAACTGGCGTCACGGCCAACTGAAGCCGTACGCCGTCGTTTGGGTCGATCCGAAGGCGAAGTGTTCCACCAGGGTCGACGATGAAGGCGACACCAATCCTTTCTGGGACCAGACCCTTGTCATTCCTCTCAACGATTCGATCGAGGACTCGAAGCTGTATATCGACGTCGTCCACGCCAACGCCCACGAGGACACTAAGCCGCTCATCGGATCGGCTCGGCTCCACCTCCGTGACGTCGTCGATGACGTCGGCCTTGGTGAACGGTCCCAGCGCAAGCTTGAACTGAAACGCCCCTCAGGTCGTCCTCATGGCAAGTTCGAAGTCAAAGTTTGTATCCGCGAGCCACGCTATCGTGCGCCGGATCCATACTATGCACCTCCTTATGGTGTCCCCCAATCGGGTTCTAGGGACTACGGTGCCCCGCCATCCTATGGTAACGCGTATGCTCCACAGCAAGGTGGATATGCCCCACCAACTGGGGGGTACCCTTACAGTGCGCCTCCTTACAGTCAACCAAGTTACGGGCAGCCAACTTACGGGCAGGCCAGTTACGGGCAGCCTGGATATGGTCAGCCCAGCTACGGTGAGCCATACAAGGAGGAGAAGAAAAGTAAGTTTGGGATGGGGACAGGATTGGCTGTGGGTGCGGCAGCAGGGCTGTTAGGTGGACTCGCAATAGCGGAGGGTGTTGATTATGTGGAGGACAAGATTGCGGATGACGCGGCAGATAGAGTGGAGGATGATCTGGGTTACGATGATGGTGGTGATGACTACTAGATTGTTCTGTGGCCTTTTAATTTGCGTTTGGCCTTTTTTAATGGTTGTCAATTTTTCATGAGTGGCGTGTTGCTTGGAGTAATGTCTACTTGTTTACCCACCGAAAAAGACGTTGAAAAACTTGATTAAAATAATAAAGTTTAAATTATAAGAAAGTGTATTGAATATTTTAATCTATGTCGTGGATGTTAATGATATATTCTCATACATGTGACCATGTGCAGGCATCTATCTAACCTTAACGTGCTAAAGCAATGTGCCCATGTGAAGGCAAGAAAATGGAATATTTGGGGAGAATGTAAGAATTTGAGAGAACTATAAATTTACAAATAATACGATGAATTAATATAAATGAACATTATATTTAGTAAGTGTTAAGCACATTTTGTATCTAGCAAATAACTAGATAGATTGTTATAATAAAAAAAGGCACTTTTGATTGAACAGTTAAACATGATTACGATGCTTGAATAAATCTCTTTTATTAAATTATTAAATAAAATGTCGAGGGTATAACTTAACTGTTCTTCGCCTTTGGCCAAGAATAAATGATGTTATATGAATAATGATTTGGTTTAGAGAAAATGAAATTTGAATTCGTGAGTTATAAGACAATTATTATACAAACACAAATAAGGGTCTTTTTTTTTAAAAAAGGGTCAATTTTATTTTGTTCTTAAAAGATATAAATTTTTTTAATTTACCACTCGAATGATTAATTTTTTTACATTGTCCATTCAAAAAAATAAAAACGTTGCAATATGATCTTCTATCTTATTTTTGTTTGATCATCTGTTTGTTTTGTGATTTTTAATTGGTTGATTTGATACAAAATAGACGGATGATCAAATGAAAATAAGAAAATAGATCACATTTCAATATTTTTTATTTATTTGAAAGAAAAATGTGAAATATTTAATCATTCGAGGAGATAAATTGTTTGTATCTTTTATATGGTAAAATAAAATTTTTCAAAAAATGAGTAGATAAAAATAATAAGATTTGAAATAACCTGATCTAAACATAGTATTAATAATTACATCACTAATTATTATGAAAGGAATTGATGAAAATCACATCTCTTCATTAAATGATATGATCCTTAATATGTGTATTAATAATGTGTCATTTATGATTTTGTAGCATCTTTCATTGATGGCGGGATTTAGATTATGTGGTCTACTCTTTAAAGGTCATATTCTCTCTCTCTCTCTCTTTTTTTAATTTATCTATATATTATTAGGAAACAACATAATTATATTTTTCCTTTCTTTTTATGGATTGATGTGAAATGATTTCTAAAGTTGATACTAAAGATGTTATGCCATTTAATGATTGTAGTTTTATTGTTAATATATGCTAAAGGTATTCATTTTGCCGTCTAGATGATACCTTTCTTCATAGAAGGGAGGAGAAAATGCTGGAATGTGTTAAAGTGTCGTCGTTTTGGCTGTGGCAACTTGCCTAGTGTTTGTATATAGGCATATTACTGATAGTATCAGATAGTGCTCGGAAATGCTAACCCAAATCTAGAACCACAATCAGATGGCACAGAAAGAGTAGAGCAAGTGTATGGGTTTTTTTTTGATCAAACAACAACCACTCACACTAAAAGTCCTATGACTATCCAATGTGGAGTGTATGGGTTGAAAATGGATAAAGTTGTGAAAGAAAAACCAAGACACTATGTAAGTGGTTCACCTTAGTTGAAAGATCAAAATCACGTCCATTGTAATAGAATCTCTTGCTCCTTGGGAGTGTGTATATTGCTTGAAGAAGACGGTTACAACAGTCTGTTTGACTTAGAGCCTTTTGCAACAAAATGTTTAGAGAGTACAAGTTTATCTATAAAGTTAATTGAGTTGATAGTGAGGAAGATGATGGTCCTGTTTGTTCCACATGGTAATAGTGTCCTATTTATACAGGTAATCCTTCTAGGATTTCTTACGGTTCCTTCCTCATTTTTATTGATTCTGTGGACTCTTATACTTTTGTCCTGTAGTGATCTCTGTCGTATGACGCCATAGCATCCACGGCCCTTGAGTGGTTACACGCATCAATACTCCTTGTGGCAAAGAGTGCGTATTCGTTATGGATGTCTAAAGTGGTCCCTCTACCCTCTGAACACGTGTCGCAATGGGAGTGGTTTAGGATCGACAAGGGGGCCGAGCTCCTTGATCCCGAGCTGACCCTTTCCTGGACTGGACTTCAAGCCTTCAGGTACTGTCGGGCTTCATCCTTTGGGCGCGATATATTATAATCCTGGAGTAGACAAGCTGCAGGTGAACGGTTTGAACCACTCTGCAAGTACATGCCTTTTGGACCTATTGCGCTATTGATTAGGGTGCCCATACCTAAAATCCCATCATTATCAGGATCCAAACAATCCTAAGATTAATCTAATTCACAGTGGTGATAATAATTAGTAAACAGTTGTATCCTATCCCAACTTAATTATAATTGAAACAAGGTTTTAATAAATTATGGCCTCATTATTCTAATACCAATATAATGTTTGGATGAGGGAGGGATCAGTGTATCTTATTAAAGTTAAAAATAAAAAATAAAAACATCATATATCAATGCATAACTTTTTGATCTATTTTAAATATACTTTAGTAATTTGAGATATTAGCACAAATCAAGCGTCATTTAATACATACTATGTGATGTGTTTTTTTCCTCATAATAAGTTAATTCTTACTTCGATCAAGATAATATTATTACATTAAAAATTCTATTGATATATTATCTTTATAATTTTAGATTATTCTATTGATTTATATTGGAATTAAAATGATGAAGTTAGGGATTTATTTTAGTTGTTGTTTTTTAATCGATAACGACATTAAAGTGGAATTAATCGACAAACATTATTGATGTAGTTTTTTTTTCTAGATTTGCTTATTTTATTAAATAATTAGTAAATATTATCTCGAGTTTTAAGACTGGGTATCCCAACGAAATACGAAAATAAGAAAATATGAACTTTTTTTGGATTATGCCATGAAGTTTATATTAGCTGAGTTTTTTTATGGAGTTTCGATGTTAATTTTGTTAGCAAGGAATTTTTGTCCACTTAATTGGTTGTAAGAATGCAAACGAATAAAAGAATTTTGGTAACTAAAAGGTAAAGATAAAATTGAAATATAATGGATTTTAAGATTTAATTGAAATAAAATATCAAGAATATGGCTTCATTGATATAACACAAAAATAATAGGACTTAATGAATTTTTGTGGAAAAAGTAATATTTATTGATAATTTTTCCTCAAGAAAATTGGGGTCTTTTGCATAATAGAAACAATCACTTTACTATAGAATTAGTACTAAAATGTCTTATAAAGGCATGTTTAAGGGCAAGTGGGGCCTACGGCGATGGCGATGACGAAAGGAGGCAATGGTGGTGGTGGATGGCGACAATAGGTGTTGCGTGGTGGTGGTCCTGGTTACAACAGAGGATAGTGGGGTGATAGTGATAGGTGATAATGGTGGTAACTAGTGCCGATAACAATGGGTGACGAAAGTAGCTGATGGTATTGGTGAGACTATAGTGGTAATGGTGATAAGTATCAAATTAAGAAGTGTTTTTTGGTAAATAGAAGGTTTTTTTTATTTTGGTTTTTACTTATTAACTTAATTAAATAGTAAAATTATTTTTGACTTATTGAGAGATAATTTAAGTAAGCAATTTCAAATACTATTTTTTTTTAAAATACTTAGGAGAAGTCATAAATTCTAAACTCACTTTCTATAAAGGCAATCCAAATTCCACCTTAATTATGTGAGAAAACTACTCCTAATAATTTCAATTAGGAATATTGGTATTGGTTTTTTTTTTTTGTTGAACACGTGTAAATATCGGTATTGTTTATTAGTTAATGATGACAGGTAGGCCTCGGGTTCGAACCGGACCTTGGTCAATCCTAATTTGTTTTGAATTTGATTCGTTTATCCGGTAGATATCAAAATTCTGATTCATATTCGGATTTGTTAAGAATTGGACATCTGATAGGAGCCGAATCCAATTGAATTTGAACAAAATTACACCAAATAATCAACAATTATAAAAAATTCTGGTTCATTTTGAACTATATTTCATCAATAATCCAATACAAATATTTTGATTTAGGTTCATCTCCGTTTTAAGGAGGAGAGATTGATTTAGATTCATTTCAGTTTTAAGGCGGAGAGAGAAGAGGCGAGAGACAAATAATTGAGTTGACGACGGAGAGAAACAGAGAGTGATAAAATATACGTATACGTTACGTGTCTATTTAATTTTTAATCTTTCAATTGTGTCTCTTTGATCTAAGGTTTCGAATTTGTATATACGTAATCAAATTCCAAACGTCTGTCAAAAAATCGTGACAGATTTAGTAACGCGTTAAGCACGTGATTTCTAATTTTGTGTTTATTTGGTCCTAAAAAATTTTATTAACTATTTTTTTTACGAATGTGTGAGATTGAACCATGTAGATACAAATTAAGAATCTTAGCGAACAAATAAACACAATTGGAAAATTAGAAACTAAATATACAAAAAGTATATTTTACCCAAAAAACCAAAGAGATTGGCAGATGGAGAGAAGAGTGGTAGGATGGGGAGATCTTCGGGTGAAATGGGCGGGTATAGGCAAAAAGGGTTTGGGGGTTGATTGAATTGAACCCAAATCTCAAAAGCAAATATATATCGGATTGAATTAGTGTGTATGCAAATCCAAATCCGATTTAAAATTTTTTAACGGATTCAATTTGGATTCAAAATACATGAAATGAGTTTTTAATCCATATCTAAATAAACGTATTCGGACCTAAATTTGGTGTTTTGATATGCATAATGTGATGATAGGTGTGTGGGGCCAACATAATATATTAGGTAAATTTGATACGAATGACATAATTATATGGATATCCATTCATATTTAAGAAATTATACTTAGATCCTTGACATTTGAAAACTTATCACAATCAAACTCCATTTCGAGTGATGGACATTATGACATCAATTGCACTAGCAGAATTCCATTCTTTTCATTTAATTATTGTATACTTTTAAAAATTACTATCTAATTACTTTGTACTCAATTAAATAATAATATTTTGAACCAAAATGTTCCCAGATTTGAATTAGAATAGCTTTTTTTCAATTTTGAGAAAGATGCCGGTGAAAATTGGTTCCATGTATTGGTGGAATTATTTATCTTTTTATTTTCTTTTCAATCCCAAAAAAAAAAAAGAAAAAGAGAAAAATCATTGAACATCTTTGAACTTGAAAGTCACCATATTAAGGTGTTTTTTTTTTCCATGCAAAATGAAGTACTTGCCATGTCCCAAATTAATAGATTGCTGGTACTGAAAGATAGTTTCAAGCTATGTTGGGAAAGATAGTATGCGCTACAGATTTCTGTACCACTGAAGTTATTTGATTACCCACACCTTTTCATACAAAATAATAAAACTAACCTCTTTTTAATGTCTCGTATATTAGTGAACTTTATAAGCAAAAAAATAGAATAGGTGCGCATATACACACATGGTCATGATCTAATGTAGTACTGTACGTATGTTGTATATTTTTTATGACATATGTTGCAGTAGCCATGGTAGTCTATAGATTCCTCATGCTAGACCATGTCCTAGACTACAATGACTACTACAACATATGTCGTGAAAATGGATTGATCATCGTTGGTGATCCGCTCCCCCTTGTTATTGATTGTCTCTTTGTTAGTACTTCTCTCCTTGATCTTGGTTCTCATCGTCCATGTCACAGTAGACAATATAGTGGACTGAAAGGAAATTTAGAGTAGAAATCAAACTCTGCTTCAAATTGCCATTTATAGACAACATCAACGAATTGAACATGCATTGATGTGGAGTGACTTTCAGTTGGTTAGGGAGACTTGATGGTAACTAAGACTCTGACTTTCAGTTGGTTTGTAAGACTTTAATTAATTATGAGTTGGAAAGTGGGACATAAATTGTAACTTGAATTAAGGGGACATGATTTGAGATGCATCTCGTCGCTACTCGGGTGAAATATTTAAGTGAATATAAGTTCAGGGTTAGTGATTGTCATTCTATTTGAGTGTTCTGTTTGTATTATTAAGTTGGATAAAAATTATAGTTGATTCTTAAACTTTGTCTTCGGTTTTAATTTGGTCATTGAACTTTTAAATATCTTAATTTAGTCCCCTAACTATCAATTTTATTTCAATTAAGTCCTTCCGTTTATTTCCACTGTTAGATCAATGCCGAAATGAGTCAAATTGAGTTGGTCTCTAGTTGATCAAACGATAAAAATTGATGGAAAGACTTAGTTAAGATCAAAATTTGATAGTTGATGAAATAAATTGATACAATTGAAAGCTCGGGGACCAAATTAAAATCAAAGGCAAAGTTGAGGAACCAATTATGATTTTTACCCTATTAAGTTTGACTATGAAGTGCTGGATGGATAAAATTGAATTTTGATTTACTGTTTGTATTATTATGTTGAGTTGGTAATTGATAAATAATTATACAGACTGCAATGTTATAGTCAGTTCAATGATAGATTTGGGGCAATTTTTTTTTTTTTTTGTTTTTTGAACTTGAGGGTATGATTTCTTCAAATACATGTTTTTCTTATTAACAAGTAGGCTTGCACAAATTACATGATCCGTGCTTAAATTTTTGTAATTCAACGTGCCTTAGTTGAGCAACAGTGGGCAAAATTTTGTGGAAAAGGAAGATGCAGAGCTACACCTTTGCTCTCTCTAAACCTACAAAACAATCAAATAACCAATAATCAATAGTAGCCTAGCCAAAGGTTCTTTTATGTTCTGTAAACTAATTTTATCAATTGGTGAGTAACTAGCAGCGGTCCGTGCAATATATAAAATTTATGCCCTTCTTCATTCGCATTCCATTCTTAACCATCTTGAAAAAATATATATAAAACACGTGTAGAATGATACTGTCTAGTTTCACAAACATCACGGAAGCAATAATCATACCAGATGCCTTAATTTGAGATATTATCCAATTTCATCAATTGTGGAGAGTTTTGTAGGTGAGTCTTTTGATGGAAGAAAAGAAAAAGGGGTAAAAACTGTTTGCATGTATATTTAGTGGTTACTGCCCATGTAAAGTGGATGAGTCCAAGTTTGTAACTACCAATTCCCCATCAAATGAGAAATGGTTACATTTCTTCAAAGAGCATATGTAGTGAATGTTGGTTGCGTTTTGACAAATTAGAAAATTGGGAGGGAAGACTTTCTAGGCTCTCTCCTAAGTAATTTGATTCGTTTATAGATATAGAGAGATAGATTCATACATACTTCAAAAACTTATTCCAAATACACTATTCATTGTTTAAGGTGGTTATGTTAATTCATGAATCTAAAAAATAACTTTTTTAATCCATCCAAAGGCCGAGTTGTTTTTAGTTATGATCCCCAAATTGTGTCCCTCAATTAGATATAAGTAATATACTCGTTTATTGCAAAATAAAAAATTTATATAAGGCATATATTTAAAAGAGAATGTCATTAATTGTTAAATTGAAGGACTAGCATATATTGGATGCTCAACTAGACATTGTGCCAATGAATAATACCTCTAACAAGCAGAACCACATTTATAGTCCATTTGTTTATGATTGCAGGTGGCTCAATGCTGGAAGAAGAAATCAAATAAGGGAAGAGAGAAACAAATCAATCTACGGAACAACTAGCAAAGAAAGCAGCCGATAGGAATGAGTTGTTATTTACTTTTTTAACTCAACTGTAATGTATATATAAAAAGTCAGCTACTAGCTGACGAGGGGTACATTGTACCCTAGACTTATGAAATATATAGTTTTATGTAATAAGAATCCAATTCTTACAACAAAAAAAAAAAAGTAAAAATTCAACAGATCAACTTTCTTCTAAAATAGTAATTATTTTAAGTGAAAAGTCAGAACTAGTGATTTACCTGCTTCAATAATATACATTTGAAATTTCAGGCAGATCCAGGTTTTGGTCTTATTGCAGCATCTAGAATTATGGAATTGATATTGAATTGTTTGACTCCCTAATTTGAAAATTTGTAATTAATGACAAGCAACTGGTATGATTAAACATTTTTTGCTCTTACCTCGGTAAATATAATCAAAGACAACTCATTTAAAAGACAGACATGTATATTAAAGATAACTAGCCTTGTCATTAATATAGCCAAGGTTACATTTTAAAATTAAAGCAAAATGTAAAGAAAAATAAAACAAAGTAGATAGAAAAAAAGGGTACTAAAAAAACATAAAAATTAGAGAACCCTTGGCTCGAGCTCAATCGCTATGCGTCTCAATGGTGGTGGCGCCTCTCGCGATGTTCAGACAATTCTGCCTGATTTGCGAACCTCCTTTTGCAATGGTCTGTTCGACAGACGTACTTCAAGGCGGGATGCACACAATTCTGGTGCTCCTTAACATGTTAGCCAAAATATTCGCAACAGACATTTCAATGCCTATTGAAATCAAGAGGATGCCCATGCTCATTCTCTTCCTCTTCCACTTCCACTTCCTCTTCCTCTTCCCCTTCTTCACTCTTACTCTCCTCTTCTTCTTGCTCTTCATTTTCAATCTCCTCCTCTTCTTCATTCTGACCTCTCTCTTCGTCTTCCTCTTCATTCTGACCTCCCTCTTCGTCTTCCTTTTTATTCTCACTCTCTGTTTCGGTCTCATTCTCTCTTTGTTTCTCCATTTCATTCTCCATGTTCTCTATTTCATTGCTGTTCTCCATGCGTGCTATGATATAATATACTAGAACCTAAATTGTAATGTTATTTATATAATAAATACACATGCTATACATGACTTGGTTGGTGTACATTGGCCATGAATTGGCCCATCCGAAGCTTTGAAATGTTGTAGGATCTTTGCAAAAAGTTCTAGAATTCACAAAACACTAATTTTTCAAGTATCTTTGTTGATACCTTAGAATTCCACAAAATACTAAAATGATGAAAATTTGTTGATACCGTATTTGTATAAATAATAGAATTTGAAATATTGAGTCTATAATATGTTGACTTTTATGTTATGATTGAATCGATCATGAACAAAAAGAATCAAATTACCTCATTTGATTGTCCAAGCCAGCATAACCAAATTAGTTATTGTCCAAACCACCAGAACAAAATTAATTTAGGCCAATGAAAACTTGGGATTTAATCTGATCAAAATCCTTAATTAAACTAATTGAATTCTAAAGTCAAGTAAAATCCCTTAACTAAGTTACTATAGCTAGTCAACCAACGTAATTAAGCATAATTTATTTTCAATGATGCAAAACTCTAAGATTAAACTTTATTAAACATTTATATGGTAAGCTATGAAGCATGGATACGGATACGAAACACGGGTACCACATGATATAGATACGGCGATACGACAAAATCTAAAAAAATGGGATACGAGTACAGCCAAGATATGACCATAATAAAATATTTTTAATATTTTTATTATTTTCAATTAACTTAATACTTATATATTTTGGTAGTTCTTTAATATATAATAAAAAAAATTAGTAATTCTTTTTAATTTCAAGAAAATATAAATCGTGTCGCTGTTGTATATTCACAAAGGAAAATGACTAATTAAAGGAATCAAAACTAATATTTACCTAGTATTTAGAAGTAATTTTTGCTAAGATTATAATATAATAGTTTTATTTTATATTTTTTTGATATGTAATTGTAGATAATACTTAACAATACTCATGTGCCTTTGAAGTAATATGAATTTTTTATTAATGTATTGTATGGTATGTGAATTCGAAAAGAGAAATCAAAAGTTCAACTAAAAAATTATATATGTTGCTCGACTATAAAAGTATCCGTGAAGTATCCTAATATTTAATTATTATCAGATAAGTAGAAGGTGTATCTGATACGTATTATCGAGTATTCGACGAGTATCGTATCAAATACGATATTCAATACAGGTACATCAACCTCAACAAAATATTCGTACTTCGTAGATGGTAAGCTAGCGGCAACACTTTACTTTTTTTATTGCTCTTGGTTTTTGCGCCATGATTTTTTTCCCCCTTTTAACTTGCTTTCTTACATCAATGGTTTTTTTTTTGATAATATGAGCCTTGACTCATTCATAATTGGATACTTATTGTTGTTGACAATGGTTTTTGTATTTATGGTATTTTTTTTAATATTTTTCTTAATTTGAAAGAAAAAATCATTCGCAAAGCCTACGATTGTTGCTACAACTTTAAAATTGATCACCTAAGTGCAGGTTATGCGAAATAATATAACACTCGAAAGTTCGAGGTCGAACCAGAGGGAATTGAGAAAAACTTAAAAAACAAAGAAAAATAAAATAAAATTATTTTGAAAAAATTGTTACAGATATTTTGATATTAGAAAATAATAAATTTGATTTTAAAATAATAATTAAAAATATTAGAGTATCAGGTATTTCCTCTCAAATCCATATAATAATTATTAAAGATTTAATTCTTAACCCTAGACAAGAATTAATTGTCGGTTGATTCAAATTACCAAATTTAACAATAAAACCAAGAGAACACCTTTGTCTATAATCCAAAGTTTATTCAGGAACCTGAGTAATCCTCAAATTATATTATTATGAGAATCAATTGTAATAATTTAAGCGTGGAATAACCAGTTATTTGACTCGCAGAGAATTCAAATGTTCAACATATAACACATAAAGACCCAAAATTTTTTACAGAGCAAAAACTTTATTAAAAAAATCAAAAGTTGAATTAACAAAATCTCATATACCATTAAGCTTATAAGTCAATAATATTACCGTACTTCATTGAGAGGTTCTCCCCTAACCCTAGCTAAACCTTTTACCCAGACAAGACGAACTAAAACCAAAATAAAAAGATGAGAAAAGAATAATAATGCTAATTCTCCTAAATGAGAACCCTTAGATATACTAAAATAAATCCTAAGTATAAGTAGGAAATCTAGGGTTGGTTTGAGAAGAATTCTTTTCTAAAAAGAAGTCTTTTAAGGTTAAATTCCGTTCATAAAATCTTTGAGGCACGCATACTATATTTGTTCAGATTTCGAGCTTGAATTTCCCATATTTAGAGGCTGAATTACGAAATATTTGTGAAATACACTTTTGTAGCCCTTGTAATCTTCTTTCCAACCTCGCAAAAATCAAGTAAATCAGATATCGGAGTCAAAAGTTATGACCAAAATACTGAAAATGTGTCAAATCTTTATCTTCTAGAGTACTTTCTAATTTCAACTTTAAATGAGTTTTCTTCTAATTTGGACTCTTATAAAGATTAAAATTGTTGATATATCTTCAAATCTTTCTATCTCAATCTTGACTTTTTAATCTTTATCAATTGTGATTCTTTCTCTAGTGATTATTTCACTTGTCTTATCCATTATTACTTTAAATCAACCAATTTATCTGCAAAATAAATCAAACAACTAGAAAACGTATCAAATTAAAAAATCAAGGAATTTAACACATTTAATCACAAATAATATGCAATTAATTAGTCATTAAATATAATAAAATAACAATTTTGGTGGTTAATCAGTTGTCTTTAGTTTTTTTGTAATAGGTCTCAATATTTAATAAATTAGTTAGCGACACTTATGTTGCACAGGGACGAATATTGTATATTATTGATTTGGTTTATTTTTTCTAAAAGCAATTGTTTCCCTACATCTTCTATTTGTTGTGAACAATTTGTATTCCATTCAACTATTAAACTGTGGATTACAATCTTCTAGTAGTGTATTACTCAACTCGGAAGGAATGCATCCTACCCATCTTCTTGGAGGAGAGAGCAAGATTGTTGCTTGTGCAACCCAATGGGCTGCTTGATTAAGACCCACTATGTGTGACAAGATATCCGCTAGTTGATACTAGCAAGTCAACTAGTGTGCCCAGTATAAAACACGCTTTTTTTTTTTAATAGATGTGTCGAGTTATATTGTTTCAAAGATTCTAATGAGTTATTATGGTTAAAAAGTTAAAACGTTAAAATTTAAATGATTGACAGCTGGAATGATTACTTTGTATGACGTAATGTAACCGGGGGGGAATGTGATTCTGCATCCAGCAGTGATTCGCCATCCCAAAACTGACCATACATACTCTAGGGAAGGGAAGGTAGTTAGAGATCACAAAAACACGACCTGGCATACAGATAACTATGGGTGCACCGTGTTACTACCAAAACTAACATAATGCCAAAGAAAAATGTACCCCTCCATGTCATAAGTAATAGTTGCAATTTGAAGTCTACGTATAATGAGTGATTGAAACATAAATCAGTAGAAACTATTAATTAATCAAACAATTAAAAGAAAGCTACGACTAAAATCAAGGTTGCCCCATATAGAATCTCAGATTAGTTGAATGCCATCTCTCAAATTTGGAACAATCCAAATTGGGGGTACCAAGTGCTCTGGATCCGGTATATAATGTAACCTGAAGCTCATATTCGTAAGGTTGAAGACACCCGTGTCATCATCAGGACCATGAGGAATATAATTGGTGATGCCAAAATAATGATCGTTATAATATATGCAATTTGGTGAGCATCCAGGATAATTTGATACCAAAACAGCTTGAGAATGATTATCCCCCAAGAATAAGGCTTGGTCCCTTATGTTGTTGATTTCAACCCACGTCACTTTTTTCATCTTGGTTGAATATATCATTTTAAAAATCTTGAAGTCCGAAGTCTTGCGATGTATCTCATCATACTCGTTTTCTATCAGAAACCTTTGAACCATTAATAGATATCTCTCATACGATGTTATAAGATAAGTTATTTTGCCAACCATAGTCTTACTTTTTTTTTTTCGGATAGTAATCATTGCCTTATTTGGTTTAACAATAACTTTGTGAGTACCTTTGGTTACATCAACATGTATAAGACCATCACGGTTGTTGACAGCATATCGTTGGCCTGTATAGTAAATAAGGTCAGAGAATACATAATCTTTTTTCAATTCCACAAATGTCCAAGCTTCATCACTTGATTTGAAAGATGCCAATCTTCTCATGCCGCCATAAATGACCACAACTTCATAATTATTTGCATCTTGAGAAGGATCAGAAGTTAGTATACCTTTATGAAGAAAATATTCATGGTTACCTGCCTTAACCCAATCTTGGTAATCGTTTAAAGGATCTTTGAACTCTGGGAGATGGATGCTTCTCCCATTGAATGGATTTAGCAGAGTTACGATCATGGATTTTTCAATACTGAACAACCACCCATGGGAAGAACCAAAACAACGCCTATTGTAAGGCATTGGCAATTGGAGATCATGAATTACTCCATCGGTTACGCTATAAAATCTTTGCTTTTCTTTACCGTTATCGTCAGTAGGAGAGATCATCAACATGGGCAGTCGACCGCGACATGCTTTAAGGATATACAATCTTTGGGTATGAACATGATGGTAATTATTTTCTTCTAATGCAATTGAGCGCCATGATTTGCAAACTGAACAAAATTGAATATAATCATAAAATTGGATCATGCGGTCCAAAATTGAGTCAAGAATGTCTTTGGAAAGCCCTGCCCAACCTAAATTTGAGAAGACCATTCCGCTTTAGTTGTCCTAAGCCCTGATATAATACAAGAAACGAAAGATTAGAATAGTATATATGCTATATAAATGCAAAAAATAAGTCAATCATGATTCAAACCGTGGTTCATCAGTCTGTGAAGCTACCTTATCTGACCCAGCATCCACGGTTGATCACAGCAACATCACAGAGAGAGAGAGAGACAGAGAGAGAGAGGGGAAAAAATAAAATTGCAGCGGTTGCGGATTACCTTTTTTTGATGTTTAGTGGAAACTATGTACCAAAAAAAGATGTTTAGTGGAAACAAATCGAGAAATAGTAGGAAGAGAGTGTTTCAATCAACAATCACGAACAATGGATAAAAAAAAAATAGCTTGAGTGTGTCTTACAACTATGGAAATTTTACGTATATGGGTACCATATAGTATATATGCACTAAGATTCCTACAAGTGCCAGACCTCCATTCCCACCAAACCTAGAAAACCAGTTCCTAATTTGCTTAGGCAAGGGTATGGGATATCACAAATAATGGTCATGCGATTTGACTGGTGTTGGATAACTTTCCAAATCCTCCCGAAAAAAGAAACCTATTTTTATATAGAATCCAAAACCTAATTATTCTAGATTAAAATAAGATATATATACCAAAATTGAATTCCAATCTAACAACTTGAAAAAGTAAGCCCATCAACTATGCAATCAAGTGGCACTTAAACTACGACCTAATCTCTGACTCACGTGACATGCACGTGAGGCTTTCTGTTAAAGATAACTACAAATTTTGACGAAAGGGTCATATTGAGTCAAATTGCATAGTTCTTAAACTAAATTGACATAAAACATAATTTAAGAATTTAATTGACATAAACGGTACAACTCATGAGCTAAAAAGGTAGTTAACTCATAATATTACTCTAATCAGAGGACTAATAGTTGTGAGGAGAGATACTATATACCTCTCTTCTAAGAGAATCTCCAACCCCAACTCTAATTTAAAGTTAAATTTAAATTTGAGTTTAAATAGTCTAAAAACATTCTCCAAAACTCAAACCTATACTAAATTAAAAAAAAAATTATTCTGAACCCAAATTGAGAGGGACTCAAATTCTATATTAACTTTTCAATGGTAACTTTTGACCTTATCTAAAACCAAAAAATTTTTTAACGACTTGCTCTCGGCCACTTCTAGCCTCTCTTTTCTATGCTGCTTCAATTATCATCGAAGTATTCATAGATCCTTTAAACTTCCATCTTCGTGTTTTTTTTTTTCAAAATCTTAATCTTAGATAAGTTTCTTCCTTTTGAACTTCCATCTTTTATTTTTATTTTTCAAAATCCTAATCTCACTCATCTTTCATTCTATATAAATCCTAAGTCTATTCATCAAATTTTTCTTTGATTTTTTCGAGTTAAACAATGTCTATAATGCAATTTAAGGCAATCGATTCTTCTTGAGAAATATGAAAGTTTTATTTATTTTATCAAATTTCATGATTTGAATGACACAAAAAATGAGTTTTGGGACAAGATGGAATTTTTTAAAAAATTTGAGTAGATATTTTAGTTTGCCTACTCTATATCAAATCAAGCCTTTTATTTAAATTTAGACTCAAATTTGAGTCTAAATTTGAATAATGGTTAGAGATACTCTAACCCATACTAAAACAAAATCTGTTAATTTGAGGGTCAGTACTCATCAAGCATCTTCTAGTGCAGGTTACGCGAGTTGGGAGTTCTTATGGAAGCAAAGAATCCCAAAATAAGATTAAGGTCTTCATATAGAGGTTTGATTTGGATGCTTTGTCCACCAACGGGAATCTGTGGCTAAGGACAATCAAGGAGGACATTACAATCTATGTAATGTGTGTCGTAGGGAGGCTGAATCCAATATACATATTTTATAGGATTGTTACTGGGCAAAGATTTCGTGGAATTTGAGTTCCCTCCACAGGATTATCCATTATTCAGGAATTAATCCGGAACTGTGGGTAAGGGATAAACATGGTATGCTGGATTCAGAGGAGTTTGCTATATTTCTTGTCCAGTGTTGATGATTTGGAAACATTGAAATGAGATGGTTCACTCCGGATCCTCAAAGAACCCTGCAACCATTATCAGAGAACCTAGAGATTTCTTAGAAAGCTTCCAGAAGGCCAATGATATCCGAAAGCCATTGACATCAATTCTGGCATCTTGGACATCACCTAAAGCTAAACTTATTGAAGGCTAATTTTTGTAGGGTTGTGATATCGCAAGGTCAGTATGTGGGAGTTGGAGTTGTTAGGGACAAGAATGTGTCTTTGCAGCCGAAAAAATAATGGCTGTAATGGTGATACTACGTCTTTATTGCCACCCAATCATGTTATTTAATAATCATCAAAATGGAGTTCACCTTGTCCATTTGTAAGTTCATAATGGGATGATAAAATGATGACGTGGTGTGACTGCTATACTCAATATTTACTCTTCATAACAAGGATGGCCAAGAAAGTTGAATGTAGGGAGGTGGCGATGGGGGTAAAAACTGTTGCTATGAAGAAGGCCATGTGTTTTGTTCGTGATCAAGGGATGTCGTATGTCAGTTTGGAAGGGGATTCTCTTCAGTTTTTGAGATCAGTGAAGGAATTGGAAGCCCAAGCAAATATGGGATCTGTTAATGGATCAATCGAGATTTATTGAGAATTTTATTGTTTGACAATAGAGAGATCTGAGTATCACCTAGACAAAGCAATTCTCTCAATGGATTGCGATTCAAGAAACGGAGAAAGCCATTGCTAAAAATTTTGTGAGTTACGGTGTTTCTAACAATTGATTTAACGTTGGGACAAAGAGTTTGGGTAAGGGATGCAAAGCAATTCTCAAAATGAATTGCGATTCAAGACATTGCTTTTCAAAATGAATGCCCGTGCTCAATTTCGATGAAAATCCATACCTATTATCATGCCCCAAATTTTATAAAACCGTGATTAAAACAAACACTTTATTTATTTAATAAAAAAATATGCCGGTATGTTGTAAAACGTCGAGAAAAGTATTTCTTCAGTTGGAAATAAATCATTTTTTTTTTTGAAAATTGCGGCAGAGTTTCTTTTGAAAATTGGGCTTCCAACCAGTTAGTAAGAGTATCTCTGTGAGAGCACAACATAATTCTAACTAACTAAACATCTACAATATGCATCCACAACATGCTTCCATCCAAAAATATAATCCAACTAAATTCAGGGTGGCAATTAGAGGCCCATGAAGTCTCCCAAACCCGGATATATCCAACACCAACACTTACCACAACTTAGTACCCAAAGTCATAACTTTATATTACAATATCCACAATGCTAATCCCTCTATAGAATAATCAAGTGTATACCAAAAATACCTCAAGACAACCTTTTTAAATACAATGCTTGAGTGTTAACATTTCTACATGAGTTCTAAAAGTAAACACAAAAAACTCCAAAATAGATTCTTTCTAGTCCAAGCTTCCACAAGCATTCCATCACTTATGCTTTAGAGTGTATACTAGTCTTTGAAAATATTAGTAAGGGATGAGCAACCATAAGCTCAATAGGATAATCATTTTCTCAAGTATTTACAAAGTTTTAAAAACAAAAATTTCACAAATCATATTAATAAGTAATGAAACATTATATAATTAAATACAGGTACAAGATAATAAGTAAAACATTTATAAAAATCTCCCAACACAAACATTTATAAAAATCTCTCAACACCTCAACATTAGAAATATACAAGGTATAAATTAAAGTCAAACCATCATAGCAAATATCATTCATGCCTCGCATACGGATAATATCATCAATCACATCGGTTCACGCATGAACCATTCCCGGGGAACCTTTTGGGTTTTGCACCCTAGGGTCTCATTGTCTTTCTTGCTTTTCAAGGGGAACATGTAGGGCACAACTTGTGACGCCACATAGGCCATCACTGAAAACCACTACCATAACCAATTCCCTTTAGGACTAGTAGTCGCCTTGACAACCCACTCAATAGGCCCCCAACCGTCTACTAACCCTCTGTCTGTCAGTATCGTGCATACATTTTTCAAAAATCATTATTTGCTATATCAATAAATTCTTTTGAAAACACATGTCATAACTTTGATATTTTATCAAACATGTGGTAAGCTCAAATCTCAAAAGTTGTATTTCCAAAGCAACACAACCATTTCTAAGAGAAAATAAGTCATATATATTATATACAAAATAATAGAATACTTCAAAATTCCCAAATCATAGGTTTAATCAAATACTCATAACTAAAATCAAATTAGGGCATTTCCATTTCCAAGATAATAAATCATATTATATACAAGATCATAACATACTTTAAAACCCCCAAATCATTAGTTTTATCAAATACTCATAACTAAAATCAAACAAAGGTTTCAAATCCATAACACTAAAATCATTTCCATTTTCAAGAGAATAAATCATATTTTGTACAAGATCATAATATATTTCAAAACCTCCCAAATCATAAGTTTAATCAAATACCCATTATTAAAATCAAACAAGGGTTTGAAACTCACCACACTAAAATCATTTTTATGCGTGTAGGTTCACAAATTCATGACATATTCAACACTATATTAAGGTTTATAACAAGAATTTTGTCATCAATCATATAGTAAGCTTTAACTGAGATGCACAATGTAAATGCAAGAGAAAGGAAAACCCCACCTAAGAATCAAGAATTCCAAGCTAAATTCCTAGGATTTCCAAGTAAACTCAAAACTTTATGGACCTTCTTCTTCCCCTTTCTCTTTTCCCTTGTTTTCTCCTAGAGTTCTAA